AGGACAGCAGCTAATGTGCCTCAGTAACCTGGCTAAGGATGGTGAGGGGCAAACACAAGGGATGAATCTGCAGTGGCTCCTGGGGAGGCTGTCAGTGGGTGGGCAGGAGAAATAAGCCAGGGACTCACTAATGAAAAAGTCTTCAGTCTAGGACTGGCTGTGTGGACAAGAATGAGGTAATAAATAAGCTAGAATTTCTACACAGGGAACTAAGAGTCCATGGGGGCTCTTTTGGTACATGAACCTAGTATCATTGGTTCAGAGAAAGTACTTATGCCACACAAGAGCAAGGTGGCAGAAACTTAGTTGGTAGCACACATAGGGAGGTTATTTGAGAAGACAACATTCTGTCTCTCCATCTGACTGTCTGTCTGTCTATCTGTCTGTCTCTGTCTCTCTCTCTCTCTCTACACACACACACACACACACACACACACACATACACACACACACACACCTCCATGCATGTCAGGGACTCACTGGGAAGATGTGGCATTAGTGAGTATCTAGCTTTAATCTAAGTGGAAAGAGAAACAAATAATCAAAGGTGAGAGTTTATTCTAAAAATTACTGGCAGTTTTGAAGCAAATGTTATATCCTATTTTGTATATTTTTTTGGGGGGGGTGCTTTTCTTTAAATTATATACTGTACTTCATATAACCAAATACATAGATAATAGATTATAAATTGTCAAATAATTGAAAATTACAATAAAATTATAGATATTTAAAGACTATAGCTAGATATTGAAGATACAGTCAGATGCACAGATGGAAGAATGAGTAGATGGGTAAGTAGATGAATGGATGGGTGTGTAGGTGAAAGGATGGATGGGTGGGTGGGTGGATGGATGGATGGATGGGTGTGTGGGTGTGTGGGTGTGTGGGTGGATGATTGGGTGTGTGGTTGGATGGATGGGTGGGTAGATGAATGGGTGTGTGTGGTGGGGTGGATAGATGGATGAGTGTGTGGATGGGTGGGTGGGTGGATGGATAGGTGGGTGGGTGGGTACATGGACGGATGGATGGGTGGGTAGGTGGATGGATGGGTGTATGAATGGATGGATGGATGGGTGGGTGAATAGATGAACAGAAAGAGAAATTAAGGAAACAGATTTTCAAACAATGTTTAGTAAATTAGAATAAGGTTTTATGTTTATTAGAGCTGAGTATATTATAAACTGCACTCAAAGGAAAACCATGATTTTTCTTCTCTCTTCTGACAAGACAACTATTCAATGAAATCGTGTTTTCCACTCATGAGTCTTGAAGAGTTATGAATGAGTTAGATCATACGATTGGCCAGACTATCTTCACATCTATTATATCTTATATTTCAAGACCCACAATCTATCAGAGGTTAAAATACTTAATTCTTTTTTGTTTGTTTTGTTTTTCAAGATAGGGTTTCTCTATGTAGCCCTGGCTGTCCATAAACTCTGTAGACTAGACTGGCCTTGAACTCACAGACATCCATCTTCCTTGGCCTCCTGAATGCTGAGATTAAAAGCATGTATCAACACTACCCAGCAAAATACTTAATTCTTAAATGGAGAGGAGTCACATTTTGAGTATAAAGGAATCCCACACTCTTACCATTCCCAGAGTGACGAAAAGATGTTGGTTTAGAAGAGACTCACTTGGGAGACTGGTCGACAGTGTATGGTAATCCACAAATAATACCATCTTTGATTAATTGCTCTAAATATTTGCTTACAAATAACCCTACCACAAAACTCTTTAAGGAAAGAAGTTTAAACATAAAGAACAATACTACAAAGATCATACTCAAAAGATGAGGGCACTGACCACATTTTCATGAATGTCCTCATCTCACCAAGACATGAAGTAGCTAGCAAGTTCCATTAGTAGAACTCAGTCCTGTCAAGGTAATTAAACCCAGCGTGGAGTCTGGGTTTTGCTCCTGCAGGTTTGATCCTCCTTCTTGGACCTGCCTGCCTATATCCACTACCATTAGATTAGAAGTGAGAAAAATTTGTCTTCAGATTGCTGTGTGGGCCTAGAATTGACAGCCCAGCCAACTTTGCAGAAAACCACAATTTGGAGGGGGAAAAAAAATCACTTTTGGTTTCTGGTTCCTCAGCACTTCTACACATCTAATTAGCTCAACAATTGGTCCCTGTGATAAAATCAGCTAATTTTATGTTCAAATGGCTGTTTTGTGGTAAGCAGTGCTGTAACTCCAACACCAATATAAAGAAGTTGCTGAAGAAGCAGGTTCCTGCAGGTCACTGGGGGACAAACTATCAGAGACTATCAAATTAGTAACCTAAGTCAACATTATAGTTAGTATGCAAGGGTCCCTGAAGACTCAGAGAAGTTCAATGGCCAGGACGGAAAGCCTATAAAAGGGACCTCTGAAGGGGGAAAGATGACACATGGAGTATCTACTCTCAACGTTGGCCTAAATGTTTGGGGCTTAACTAGCCTCATGAAGAACTGAAGCCTCTAAAAGTAAATGTCTTTGTTGTTTCCAAAATTTGTCCTAGGTCACCCTTGACATAAAGAACAGGGAATGTCACCCAGAGCTACTCTCTGGCCAGCTGGGAAGACACAAATCTGAGAACCCACCTTGATGATATAGGGCCCGTTGAAAGCCAGAAAACTTTTAAGGTAAATGTAAAGAAAAATACTTATTCTTTATTGAGTGAAAGCTAATTGTATCACCTTTCATAGGCAAATTGTTGACTTCTTTGGGGTGAGTTATATATATTATCAGTTATACAAAGAGAATGGGCAGAAATTCACACAAGCTCCCAAAGTAGAAATAAGGTCTCAGAACTACACCAACACATGCAATTTTCAATAAAGATATAGAGAGATATAAATAACATATAGGTAGGTAGAAAGATAATAGATGATAGCAAAATGGCAGGTAGATGATATAGCTATAGATATGCATACAGGTCATTAGTGGATGGATAACCAAAGATTTGTAAAAGAAAAAAAAAAAAGAAAAAAACTTCATTTATATAAAAATAAACTTAGAAGAGTGATAGGTATTCAGCAAATATCCTTTTATGTGGCTGTAATCCAACTATGACTAACTCTGCTATTATAAGGCTGTTTGTGTATTATGTATCACTCTGCTCACTTCTATAGCTAAAGTTGTCTCCCATGTGACTATATGATCACAGCAGGAGGTCCTATTGGGGGAAATCACCTCAAGATTTTCTGCCTCTACTCCATCACAACTTCAGAGAGACCTTTGGTGGGATCAACCTTGAGCCTTTAGAGTTAGCAGTCTTTTCTGGCTAGGGAACAGAGCTGGTTGGAGAGGGACACTGTGGATGGGAGCTTCTGATATTACTTACATGGTGGGATGATTAGCTAAATTGTCAATTTGATACAACATGGAAGAGAGTCTCAATGAAGGAGTCAATGCGATAGCCTGAGGGCATGCCTGTGTGTGTGTGTGTGTGTGTGTGTGTGTGTGTGTGTGTGTGAGAGAGAGAGAGAGAGAGAGAGAGAGAGAGAGAGAGAGACTTAATTAAATGCATTATATGAGAAGATCCAGTCCACCGTGGGTGGCATCATTCCCTGGGCAAGAGAGGCAGGGGTGGGGGGCAGTCTTGAAGAAAGAACACAGCTAGCTGAGCACAAGCAGGCAGGCAGCATGTAGGCATTTATTTTCTTTCTATTGTTTGATGTAAGATGGCTGACTGACTCAAGTTACTGCCTTGATTTCCCTGATCCTGTTTCTTGGTACCAACCATCCCAGAAAGTCCTCACACACAAGCCCATTACCTTGAGCTCTGTCACCTGTGGGACAGACATCATAGCAGTCACCTAGGCACAGGTATGTAGTTAGCCTCATTGCCAACTACATTGATGGGACACTTTGGTTCCTGAAAATGGAGATCTTTTGATGTTGTAGTCTCCATAGAGGAATAGAAGAAATGTCACAAAATTCAGTGCAGACTCACAGAGGGAATAATGTATGGATAGCAGCCATGTGCCCCAGACTGCCTGCCATACAAGCAAGGTGATATCACAGCCTTAATTGATGGGAGGAGGTGACCCTCTCAGCATCTCCCCCAGGCTATCTCCTATCACAGTGGAATTGACCAGGCCATACACCCCAATAACAGACATGCCTCACCCCAGCCCTTCTCATAACCCCATCTACCACCATGGTGGCTGACTCATACTATTTACAGCACCAGGGTAGCTACAGCTCTATTGTTAAATCAGAAAATATCTTAATTAAAATTTGAGTATTATCACAGAACTCTAAACATTAAAGCAACTCAAGTTGTTTTTTAAGAAAACCAAATCTCCACTGGAGATTTTTCTAAAAGATTAGAGAAGTTAACAGTGAGAACAATTATTTCATGATGTAATGTATATATTTCTGATAAATGCTTTTATTATAATTAAGTTTACTGTTGCTGGAATTGGAGAGTGTATGTTATGGGTTGATCTGTCTTCCAGAAAGGATCTATTGGAGCCTTAAGCTCTTAGAACATGACCTTATTTGGAGTTGGGTCTTCACAGAAGTCGTCAAGTTAAATGAGGTTACTAGGGTTAGCCTGAATTGAACAGGATCAGTGTCCTTATAAATGCAGGACTGAACACAGAAACACACAGAGAGGGAAGATCATGTGACATTTACAGGGAAAAGTCTGGGCTAGTCCTTCCCTCAGGCCCCAGAAAGAAACCCCCTGTGTCAATGCCTTGATTCCCAATTCCAGCTCCAGAACAGAGACATGCGACATCTGTTCAACAGACCCTGTCAGAGGGACAGCATCACATAGTCACTGGGATGAGCTGATTTTAAAGACAAATATACACAGGCCCACTCTTAGACTCTTACTACACGCATTTCTTTTGTACAGTGGCTCTGCTTGGAGGCTAGCAGAAATGGCCAGAATGTATGCCTTGGAGTATGGTCACAGATGAGCAGAGTCAAACACCCCTTTAACACTGAGCAGGACCAGGTCACTCTGGCCTGAGCAGGCCAAAGCTAGGGAGCCTACCTTCTGGTATTCCTCCTTGGATTTCAAGGCTGTTTCCATCTGTGCTTTGGAGGTGGGATAGATCGCCGATCGGTACTGGGTGCCATAGTCATTGCCTTGGCGCATGCCTGAGGGCCAGAACAGAGGAGATTAGGGGGCTTCTGGAATAATACTGCTGGCACCAATAGGCAAATGCTAAAAGATGTAGATTTTTTTCCCATGAGATTGCTGTGACCAGTTTTACTAAGTGTTTAATTTTATCTTTATGTGAGTTTCTGGGAATGAAACTGGTGGTTTGAATAGGTATGGCCTCCAGAGACTCGTGTGCTTGAATGCTTGGCCCATAGGGAGTGGCAATACTGGGAGGTGTGTCACTGTAGAAGAGGTGAGTTTGGAATTTTATAAGCTCAAGCCACAACCAATGTGAGACACAGGCTCTTCTGCTGCCTGGGGATCAAGATGTAGAACTTTTCCAGCACTAAGTCTGCCTGCATGCTGCCATGCTTCCCAGCATGATAATAATGGACTAAACCTCTGAAACTGTAAGCCATCCCCAATTTAATAATTTCTTTTATAAGAGTTGCCATGGTCATGGTATCTCTTCACCACAATAGAAACCCTAACAGAAATATATGTTTTAATTATAATGAAGGAAGCTGGAGTGTTGCCTTGGTGGTTAAGTGAGTGCATTGCTTTTACAGAGGACCTGACTTCAGTTCCCACCCCCTATGTAGGGTGGATTGCAACCTGTAACTTCGGCTCCAGGGGGCTGCTATGCCCCTATGGACATCCAAACTCAACAGGTACATATCCTGTTCCCCACATGCATATAATTTTAAAAATAATAAATCTTTAATCAGAACAAATATCTCTGAACTTATGTAAATTTATCAAAGTCCTGGATCATAATAGATACTCCATAAGCAATCATTTTACAAGCAAATGCTTATAGAACAATTTCTTCGTTTATTACTGTGGTGTATACTGTGTTGGGCGGGATGCTCTGGGAGACTCAGTTCTCCATCATTGCAACAAATAAATACCTGTGAGAAATCCAGTTGTAAGGAGGAAAGGATGGTTTTGGCTCCAGTTTCAGAATTTTCAGTGCATGGCTGCAGGGTACCATGGCCTATGCTGAGGCAGCACATCATCACCAGCTCATGGTGGTATGGGCTGTTCACCTCACAAATAAGAGGAAGAGGAGGGGCAGAGGTCCTAATATTCCCTTTAAGAGTTTGCCCCCAAGGGCCTAACCTTCTTCCTCCAGGCCCTGGCTCCTAAAGGTTCCACTGCCTCCCAACAGTGCCGTGAACTGGGGAGTGAGTCTCCAACACACAGACATGGTGTGGGCAGGACACACAGCAGGGAAGGAATAGCCAGCCCCTCCAGTGTTTTAAGGATACGCATGCCTTTGCATAAGTAATATTTACATGTATTCTCACTCTAATGTTTTATAACCAGTACAGTTAAGACCAAGGGCTGGGGACACAGGTAAACTGAGGATTATTTGTTTACATATTTGCAAGTAAAAGAGATGTCTATAATAAATTTCCCCCCCAACATCCTGTTAAAGATGAACTCTAGAACCGGGGAGATGGCTCAGTGGGTGAGAATGCTTGCTGTCCAAGTGTGAGGACCTGAGTCAAAATTCCCAGCATCCCCCCCACACACACACTGAAGTCTTATGTAGCCGTTCATGCCTTTACCTCAGTGGTGGTGGTGGCAAGGGAGACAAGAGGATCCTGGGGCTTGCTGGCTACCAGCCTAGATGCAGGTTCAGCGAGGGACTCTGGCTCAAGGGAACAAGATGGAGAGAGCTAGACCAGGGCACCTGATGTCCTCTAGCCTCCACACACACGGGCACAAATGTGCATTGAAAGAAGTGTGCACCAGCACACATATGTGCACATGTGCAGCACTCACACGTTCATATACACACCTGCTGTGATAGCAAGTTCTAACTGTCAACCTGACATAATCTAGGATTACCTGGGAAAAGAGTCTCAATGAGGAACTGTCTAGACTGATTGGCCAGTGGACATGCGTGTGAGGAATGTTTTTATTGGGTTAATTGAGTGGGAAGAGCTACCCTGAATATGGGTGGCATCACTTCATGGGCTACCCCCTCCCAAGACTGAATGATAAGAAGAGTCAGGTGAGCTGGCAGGCAGGCATGCATTCCCTCTGCTCTTGACTGTGGGTGGGAATGACTGCTTCAAGTTCCTGCTGCCTTGACATCCCCACAATGATGGGCTGTGGCCTTTCAGAATTGCATGCTAAAATACATGCCTTTCCTTAGATTGTTTATCTCAAGGTGTTTTATCATAGCAAAGAAAGGGAAACTAACACACCCACACCTTCAGCACAGACACAGACACACACACACACACACACACACACGAATTTGAATTTAGTAAAGTAACTCAGGTTAAAACTTTACAAAACTGCATCAGATTTTGAGAAAAATTTCAAATCGCTGAGTTACTCACATCTGGTTTTACCTACTTGTCTTTGTTCTAGACTTCTCTGCTTCTCCCTTCCCTGACTGTCTCCACAGCAGCAATGCTCTGATTGAAGTCCTTCAATCATCCTAACCATTCTGCCGCCATTTGCTTTTCCCCTTGTCCTTCTCACTGCTAAACTCAGCTGCCCCTTCCCTGCCCTGAGCCCTCCAAAATGGCAGCTCCCTTATAAAACATGTTGACCATCTCTTCTCTGTGTATTTATTATTCCTCAAAAGTGCTTTCAAAATGTAAGTCAAAACTGCCTTCAAAGAATCCATTGAGTTAGTGTATAAATGTCTTCAATTCCTGAATATTAAGTCTCAGCACCCCAGGAGGTAATATTGAAATGTGCATCTTGGTTAAGCATCAGCCTTCCATTAGCTCTTGCCTACCAGGAGCTAATAAGCTGCCAGCTAGGGAGAGTGTTAACTAGGTCATGGGGGGGGGCACAAAGCTCGCTTGGGCTCTTTTCAAGATGGAGGGAAAGTGAAGAAATCAATTAATATCCTTAAAGTAAAATCTAAGTGTTTTTAATGACAGTCAGACAACTGAGCTGCTGAGATGCAGTAGGTATTCTCTATACAGAGATGCTTCAGCTTCTGCACTGCTCACATCCTGAGCCAGATGATCCGCAGTTCTTGGGCTGCCCAATGCATTCTAGGACACATAAGAGCACCCTCAGGCTCTATCCACTGATGCCCACCCAGTTGTGACATGCAAAATTATCTCTACACATTGCTACTTGTCCCCTAGGTGGCAAAACTGCCTCTAGTTGAGATCTGTTCCTTTATATTAATGGGCCATGGCCTCCAATATCATTATGTACAGTCTTCATGTTCAAGGCAGCTGAGCAAAGCAATGGGAAGAAGTGGGAGCCACAGGAGGGAAGAAACCAACAACTGCAGAGGAATCATGGGAGTCTTCCATGTCTATATTTGTGTCTGTATCCACTAACTCCCATGGTCACTAGCGTGGCTTTGTTTTAATGCTTTGTTATTTCATTTACAATTCCACATACATACATTTCTTAGAATTCAAGAGAATGGAGGTTTGCATAAGTGAATATAAGATATTCCTTAATTTGTTTTTGTCAAACTGCTTTTTTAATCGAAAGTATTTTTCCATATACTGCATTCTGATCTTGTTTTTCCCCTTTCTCATTTCATCCCACGTCCTCTCCCTACCTCCCCACACACCCAACTACATGCCTTCTATCTCTCTCTCTTTAGAAAACAAACCAGCAAATAAAAAAATAGGATAATAAAAACAAATAAACAGCACAAGAAATACACACACAGACACACACACACAGACAAATACAGGTATGCCCCCCCACACAGAAACAAGCCCCATAAAGATACAAAATTAGAAACCATAATATACAAGCAAAAGACCAGTAATATAAAAAAAATTGCTCAAACAAAGTAATATGAAAAAAAAATCTACAAAAACACCATTGAGTTCAATTTCTGTCAGCATCTACTGCTGGGCCCAGGGCCTGACCTTAAGTGTGGTTTGTATATCCATGAGACTCCATTGTAGGAAACAATGTTTCCTCTGCAAATGGTTGTCAGGTGGAGGTAACTTCCTGGTTATGAGTGAGAGCTCATGTCTACTCTCTCCTCTTAGCACTGGAACCCTATCTGGCTTGACTCTACATGCGTGTCATTCCTGTTGTGTCTGGAGGACACAGTTTCCTTGGTATCATCCATTCCCTCTGACCCTCACACTCGTTCTGCCTCTTCTTCCAAATAGATGGGAGGGGTTTGATGAAGACATCCCGTTTAGGACGGAGTATCCCAAGGCAGCGTTTTAAGTGGCATTTAAGTTCTAAACCAACAGACTTGGAGTAAGTAAAAATTGAATTTAGTGTGAATACAGTTTTGATATAAGGCTCTAAATATATGAAGAAAACCACCAAATGTCTTTTTTGCTCCTTGTTTACAACTCTGGGCATGAGAAAAGAGAAGCATTAAAGAGGCACCCGGTCTTTGCTGGCGACCAGTATGGCTACCACACTGCCCAAGAATCTCTGTGCACTGTCCTGCCTCTTGGTGTCCACGGGAACAGCATCCGTGTTACCAGGGATGAAAACAAAGCTGGTGAAGCAAGACAGAAATGTGCTTTTTAAAAGCTGAATAGGTGAAGCTTTCCTGCAGTTGGGAATCGGTGGCTCCATGGTCACCGGGGACTCAGATTTCTTTTCACTCAATTGTTTTTAGCACACGGCCTCACCGTCAAGGACAAACATCATCTGGTCCTGAAACCACCATGACCAAAGTGCAAACTAAGAGAAGGAAGGAGGAGGAAAAGTGAGTGGACGAAACCTCCTACTTCCTACATCTTTATTAATTTTTATTATTATCACATTTGTCTATCACCTATATGGACAAATACATGCATGGCGTGGTGTGTATGCGGAAGACAGAGGACAACTCTGTGGAATCAGTTCTCTTCTTCCACCTTTATGTGGGTTCTGGGCATCAGACTCAGGCCTCCAGGCCTGCATGACAAGTGCCTTCACCCACTGGGCCACCAGCCTGTCCTGACTTCCTCAATCTTTAAACAGCCTCCCTAGAAATTTCACACTGCACAGTTAGTTATATCTTACTAGTCAGAACCTG